CCTAGCCAACACAGTCAGTAGCCTTCAGGACTGGGGAATTCTGGAATTTTTGTACTCCAGAAAAAGTAACGGTTCCAAGCTCTAGTGTGCCTACTAGCATCAGACCAAGTGAACAGGATGAATGGGCCCATTCATCTCCTTAAATGTGGTTCCTTGCATTAGCAGAACTGTATACACAGGGTGACACCAAATAGTTCTGTGTCATCCAAGGGTTTTTGCGTCTAACCTGGAATTTATACCAAGGGCAACATTTATCCTTCTGCCATTCTGTTTACCCCTATTGGATGACTTTACAGCACAGAAATACTTGGCACTGGCTGAAGTCCTGTTGAATTTGTGGGGATTTTGTGAGTCTACTCCTCTGTACATTCCACGGGTCCTACTGTCGTTGTGACTCAGTAGGCTAAGTAACAGGATTTCAGCTCCTGAAACAGAAATGTTTGTCCATTGGTGTTTTACCATTCGGAAATGCATTAGTTGATATTATTACACCTCCTTGAGGGCTTTGGTTTTTAATACTAATTTAGGGTAAACCGCAGACTCTGTGCTCCAGGGTCAGAAGACCAGCAGTTATAAGATCCAATCCACGCGACAGAGTGAGTGCCTGTCGCTTTGTCCCAGCTCCTCGCCAACCTAGCATTTCGAAAGCATGCAAATGCAAATAGATAAAAGTAAATTAGATGAAAGTTTGCATCAAAAGTTGTAGCAGGCTTTTATATGCATGCAATTAAAGTTTTTCTGGGCTCTGCTCTATTTATATTGATTAACCAAATTAATCAGGAAAACAATTAAGATGCATTTCAAACACACTGCCCTTCATTTTCTCAGACATTGTTAGAACTCATGTGGAAAAAAGGCTAACAGCGGAAGCAACTCTTGCTTTCTTTGTTTTTCTCAAGCTATTAGATGTTTGTACCCTTTCAGGGTACAAACAGGTAATTTTATTTCTACATTTGCTTCTGTGTCCAGAATTCTACTAATAATCTTGAAGATGTATTCAAACTAATTTTCTTCATTGATAGTATGACCGCTTCTTGGAAAACATACTTCATGCCTACTAGCCATAATGAAGAGTGCCTATGATTGGATGATCTGGTTTTGCATTGTTAATGTGTGTTGTGTCACTATGCTCTTCAATTATTTAATATATTTTCACAACATCAACAAAAACATTTTACTCAATATATTGCTGTAACTTATATATTATTAGACTATAGTTTTCCTCAGCCTTGACTGTCACCCATGTTGTGTGGAGATGCCAAATATTTGCATAGCTGCACATTGCCCACTTGTGCTTTAGTGGATTGGGCTTTGAACTACACGTAGTTGATATTTTTTGGGGGAAATGGCAGTGATTTTAATAGTGTCATTGTGACACTTGCCAGTGAGGGCAAGCAGGTATAATATGGTTATTGTGCTCAACCTTCCATGGCATTGGTGGTGGACTCTTCAGCCGATCTGATGTAATCGCTACAGTTGGCTTTAGTTGTAGGAAATTTGAATTCACATCCACTCTCAGCTGTGAGACAGACTGGATGGCTCATTTAATTGTCTTGCCTAAAACCTACTTCATAGGACTGTGGTAAAATCAGAAAGAGAAAATCCATACAAAGTGCCCTAAACTCCAAGGATGCAAATCGAAGATCAAGAGATCCTGCTTTCTGCTGCACTCAGCATTCGGTTGTGCTGCAAAGATCAAGCAAAACAGTCTTGCCAAGACAATCCACATGAACAAAGAGGCCAAGAGAGAGCGCTTCTTCCTGGAAAGGCAAAGGCTTGGCTGCAAGGCAGCTTGGGAGACAATATTTATAGCCAGACCTTAAAAGGTTCCTTTTAAAAAGTTACAAGTTATAATTAGAATTCCAGAGGACCCCTCCAATGTAGTGAATATTTGTTAATGTTATTATCACCATTTTAAAAGTAAATGTTTGATATTTAGTGGAAGCCACTGAAATAGTTATTTTTAATTAAATTTTGGAAACATCCAATTGTTTTCCATTCAGAAGCACGAGACACAGGGCAAGCCATGACTTCAGCCATGGGATGTTCCTTTTCCATGCTTTGATAAAGACCCTCCCCCAATAACTGTAAAAGTAACTTCAAAACTGTTCCCAAAGAAGTGCGGTTACTCCTTGTCAAGTTACAATTGCAATGTAATTAATTTTATATTCATTGTTAGGAAAAGGAACTAATTATAATCAAGTTACAGGAATCTAGATTTCAATTGACTATCAGGAAAAATATCCTAACTGTTAGAGAAGTATGACAATGGGACCAATTACCTCAGGAGGTTGTGAGCACTCCAACCCCCAAGGCAATCAAGAGAAAATTAGGCAGCTGATCAGATCTACTTTAATTTGGATTCCTGCATTGAGCAAGGGTCTGGACTCAATGGCCTTCTAGGCCCTTTCCAACTCCATTACTCTCTGATTAAATGATTTGTGTGATTGGTTCTTTATAAACAACATTTTATTTGTGATGAATTACTTCCAAGGTCTGTGCTTTGAAGACTTAGAGAAGATGAAAGTAATATGAGCTGGGTAGCTCATGATGCTACTGAATGGCATAATTAATGCTTTTCTCCAGTTCAAGAAAAGATACAAATGAAGGGAGGAAATGTCCACAGCCTTTGAAAGATACAAGGTTTCCTTCGGTTGTGGCTCCTCGCAAGATTGTAGGCCGACCTCTGGATGGAGTTAAGGTTGTAAGTATCCAGAATATAAGTTGTGTAGAGCAGAAGAGGTAACTGGTGCCTGTGGGGTACATGTGGCTTCCAGTCCCACCACATCCCTTTGTCCTGGGAGGAAACAGAGGGGTGAATGCTGCTTTGGGTCCCTTCACCCCATATGACCCCGATTTAATTGGCCATTGGAGGCTGTTAGAGATTTCATTCCGTTAAAAATACAGAACCTGTTCTGTTTTAATTAAATCCATGTTCCACTTAACAGAAACAGACAGTAGCAACCTTCGTAATAAAAATGAGGATCAGCAAAGCCATTTCTTTGGCTACAGCCTACCCTCGGGTTGCTGGCAAATGTGAAAAACGGCCCCCAGCCTTTCTGAGATCACCCGCCCCAGTTCAGATTAAATGAAACCATACAAAGGCATGTGACTCACCTCTGTGGAAGGCCTTCAGTCCCATTAATGAGCATGCCCAGCACTAGTGTAGGATAAACCAGAAATAGGGGGTATGCGTACACTTTTCCCCCAGCATGGTGATCAGCTGTTCCTTCATCAACCCCCACGTGGCCTTTCTGTTGCCCCCCAATGGGGCTTATCTGAAGCCTACTTTGCACCTTCTGATTTCATACCCGTTGCAGCGCTGTGCAAATTCGCCCATTGTCTTTTTTTTAGTAGCTTATGCATCTTCTTTTCTCATTTATATGTATTTGCTCTTCCCCAAGGTAGCATATAAAATATGATGGCCATGTGTTTAACGTATGATGATGTTTCTATAAAGCATACTCAGCAACTGTATATTTCAGTGAATTAGAAACCCAATGAAGGTTAGAGCCGACTAAAATCAAATCAGCAACAGACGAGAAAGTGACAGCTCTGCTTATTGTACTCTCAGCAAATATTTGAAATGGGCCCTCATGGGGCAGTCTTAATACAGTGCTTACAGTTCTTGTGTTTGCTCATGCATTAATGAAAGCACATCATTTCAGCTTTCCGTGGAGGAGGCTTGAATCGATCTTTTCTGTTCTTCAATATTAAGTCTTTGCCATGATGCCCTAGGAAAAAAAAATAAGGGGAAAGAAGACCTTATCAGAGACATTGCAAATCATGATATCTGAACATCTATCTCACTGTGTGTTGGAGCTTTCTGCTGGCTAATAAAATTAAACATCGCATAATCTCTCCTGCCTTGGTGGCCTGGAAAAAAAATTACAAAACATTTGGGTAATCAGAAAATGAAGATAAGGAGGACTGCCAGTTTTACAAGCTGTGAAGAAGCCTGCCAAGTAGAGCCAGGGGATTCGTTTTCATCGTGGCGTTTTTGCTCTATAACTCAAGACTATCGTCCTCCCCTTTTCATCTTTCTCTGTCTGACGGGCACATGCATGGCAATGGACCATCGCTTTGTGCTTTGCACAAAGAAGGAAATGGGTTCACTGACAGTGGTGGGTGGACCTCAAGCTAATGAACCAACTTTGGTTTTACTTAGAACCCCAAGGAGGCAAGAGACCCACTGGAAAGGGCATGTAGGCATATACAATGGAATGGACACCTACGTGAAGCGCCACGTCAGTGCTTTTGAGCACACATGCTCATGCCAGGAATCTTTTCAATACCGTTGCATCACTTCATATGGACAAGAGTCAGTGAGGCAGCTGCTGGGGGGGCGAGAGGCAGGCAATGGCAGCAGAGTGTTCGGGGGGGCAGGGGGCTGAGTACTGTGAAGCTTGCTCCATGCCCCTTAAATTAGCTTGCTGGATACTGTCCATCTTCAGAGTTGAAGGAAAATCCGGCTGTCACAGTGGAGCATCAGTAAATAAGTATTTATTACTGGTACTTTTAATATTTGCTGTTTATCTCTATCTTTGTGCAAAATCAGTTTGCACCATACGAGCAAGTTCAATCGATACTGTCTTAGAAACCTAGCCTATTTATTCATTCTCCTGTCAAGCGTTGAGAAATCATCATCCAAAGCTTTGCTTTGCCTTTGAATGGGGGGAAAAGTCATACGGAGACATTCACAACTCTTCCCCATAGTTGGATGCACCCGTGTTTAAGCACGGTGATTGACAAGTATATTCAAAAGTCTGCCTACCCTTCCTGAAAAACTGTGACGATGGATATTGCAATGAAGTGGTAATGTTGAGCTGAAAGCTGAAACTTGGTAGAAGCGTATAGAAGCCAGGTCGTGGTGTTTCTGAAACTGTACATACCCTTGCTCAGTTCTCTGGAAGCAGTACATGACTGACCGTTAACATTTTAATGGAATTCAGTTGTAGGATAATGCATTTTGTTCTGTTTCCTTTTCTTATTTCCACCAGACTGTGGCTTGAATGTTCATAAGCAGTGTTCCAAGATGGTCCCAAATGACTGCAAACCTGACCTGAAGCATGTTAAGAAAGTGTACAGCTGTGATCTCACCACCCTGGTAAAAGCCCACTTCACAAAGAGACCAATGGTTGTAGACATGTGCATTAGGGAGCTTGAATCTAGAGGTAAGCCGTTCCCTGAGGCACCTGTTGCCGTGTTCATAGTCCCTTTATAGCCCTCTCTGAGTCAACAGAGGTCCTGATCTCAAAGACATTTTGCATGGGGCATTGCAAGTGTCTGTTTCTCTGAGCATTTAGTATTCTGAACTACTGATGTTCAATATTTAATTTGCATCAGATGTTAAAAAATACCGTGTTTCTGGTGAATCCTCTTTTTACCTAGGACTATGGAGTTGATCTACAACTTTCAACATATTGTTATAACATTGCACAATATACCAATAGCTTGTTGGCAGTGCACTTTGATGATGTTTATGCTTGCTAGTGATGTTCCTCGTACTAATATGGTTTTGAGAGAAAGGATAGATAAAATATATATAGCTACTCTCTGGTAATTACACATTATTTTCTCCTCCAAGTCTTCCCTGCCTAATCACACTTTGCTTGATTGCTGTTTATGTGATATTTAAATACATGCAAATCAGTTTAAGTATTCCAATGTGAGTGGTTTGTTTCCAAATTCCTTCTTAATTTGGTGGCACCCTCCACACTCTAGGAGCCATTATCATAAATATGTTTGGATAAAATTATTGGGTGACAGTTCTCTGGATTGAGGAGTGAGGGCGGATGGTGAAGTTTAGGCTCAGAAAGAAAGGGGAGGCTTTTAAAGCTTAGCTCTTATTTATGAATTGCTAGCTGGAAAGAATCTGACTGAAAGGATACACGTTATGTTTAATCTAGTGATGTTTTTAACTTAACAGGTCTCAATTCTGAAGGACTCTACAGAGTATCTGGATTCAGTGATCTCATTGAAGATGTCAAAATGGCTTTTGATAGAGGTATATTCTTTTCTAGACACTGTTACAGCCACTACACTGGCTAAATCCAAAGATCTGATTTTGCATGACCCTTAGAAATTTGTGTTTCTGGAACAGCCTGTTTATTCATATCGGGCAAGAAGCAATTTTTCAGACTGAGGCTGCAACTACACTGGCAAGTCAAATCGGAGTGCTTCGGTTTTGCTGCAGCTTGATTCACAGCCTGTATTACGCTTCAGATTAGGTGATCACATGGCGACTATGAGTTGTTTTGGTGTCAGCGTCCACACTGGGTCCATAATCTAATGTGATTTGGTCTGCACCACAACATTCAGGCCTCCCTTCCTTTGATCCTGCCTACTGTTGGTCCCTGGCTCTCCTTTGATGGTTCACTGTGAAGCCAGTGGGCTGTTTAAAGAATTGCATGGTGCTAGGGAAAATGGAACAGGTTTCCAACATTTCCCATAACATTTGTTGTTGTTGTTTAGTCATTAAGTCATGTCCAACTCTTCATGACCCCATGGACCAGAGCACGCCAGGCCCTCCTGTCTTTTTTTTTAAATTTATATGCCGCCCACTCTACCCAAAGGTCTCTGGGCGGCTTACAACTACCTCCCCGAATTGGTAGCTTCGGTGACCCTGTCCAGCCACCTCATCCTCGGTCGTCCCCTTCTCCTCTTGCCTTCACACTTTCCCAACATCAGGGTCTTTTCCAGGGAGTCTTCTCTTCTCATGAAGCTCTTTAATTCCTCCTCACTTTCTGTCATCAGAGTGGTATTATCTGCATATCAGAGGTTGTTGATATTTCTTCCGGCAATCTTAATTCTGGTTTCGTATTCATCCAGTCCAGCCTTTTGCATGATGTATTCTGCATATAAGTTAAATAAGCAGGGAGACAATATGCAGCCTTGTCGTACTCGTTTCCCACTTTTGAACCAATCAGTTGTTCCATATCCAGTTCTAACTGTTGCTTCCTGTCCCACATAGAGATTTCTCAGGAGATAGATAAGGTGGTCAGGCACTCCCATTTCTTTAAAAACTTGCCATAGTTTGCTGTGGTCAACACAGTCAAAGGTTTTTGCATAGTCAATGAAGCAGAAGTAGATGTTTTTCTGGAACTCTCTGGCTTTCTCCATAAAGTTAGCACATGTTAGCAATTTGGTCTCTAGTTCCTCTGCCTCTTCAAAATCCAGCCTGTACTTCTGGGAGTTCTTGGTCCACATACTGCTGAAGCCTTCCTTGTAGGATTTTGAGCATAACCTTGCTAGCATGTGAAATGAGTGCAATTGTACAGTAATTGGAGCATTATTTAGGATTGGGATGTAGACTGATATTTTCCAATCCTCTGACCACTGCTGAGTTTTCCAAACTTGCTGGCACTTTAAAGTGTAGCACTTTAATAGTGCCATCTTTTAAGATTTTAATTAGTTCAACTGGAATGCCATCACCTCCACTGGCCTTGTTGTTAGCCATGCTTTCTAAGGACCACTTGACTTCACTCTCAAGGATGTCTGGCTCAAGGTCAGCAACCACACTATCTGAGTTGTCTGGGACATCCAGATATTTCTGGTATAATTCCTCCGTGTATTCTTGCCACCTCTTCTTGATGTCTTCTGCTTCTGTGAGGTCCCTACCATTTTTGTCCTTTATCATGTCCATCTTTGCACAAAATGTTCCTTTAATAACTCCAATTTTCTTGAACAGATCTCTGGTTTTTCCCTTTCTATTATTTTCCGCTATTTCTTTGCACTGCTCATTTAAGAAGGCCCTCTTGTCTCTCCTTGCTACTCTTTGGAAGTCTGC